AGTATTATTTCTTACCCTGACTATCTGATCACGGGAGTAACAGGACACTTGAAGAGCATTCACAACCCGTGGATCTGAGGACTAACTAGTCTGCTGATCAAATATGGCTGACTCACTTCAAAGCTGGCCGAATAATCACCTAACAGACACTGAACAGATTCCCAGGCAGGATTACATGGCAAGCGTTCAGTGGAGTTTTCAAGTGTGTCAGCCATATTTGTTCCAGGTTGGGTATGCTCTCTTGTTGAATGAATGAACATGTTCTACCAATCACTTCGAATCGAGTTTCTATTATAAGGGAAAAATATCTTCTACAAATGTTTTTCTGCATGTCATATTTCAGTCAACATAGTCAAACTTTAAAGATAAAAGGCAAGGTTTCCTCTTTATCAAAACAATCTCTGCATTTAAAAATATCAAAAAAAAAAAAAAAGAAAAAAAAATCGAGAAATTTCAATTTCTTTTTAATGTTTCATGTTTTTCTATGGTTTGTTGGAATATGACTGTCAGATTGCTTTTATGCAGCTATATAGACATTCTCTGAATTACGACTCCCAAAATAACATATTTTTAAACTCTTTTTTTTTTTTTTTGTTTTATACATCAAATAATCTATTCCCCACAGTAGTTTCTATCAAACTTCCCCAGTGTCAGTGTGCAGGAAACCTGACATAGTGGACAAATGGGGCAGTGTCTACTGGCCCACACCCTGATTCTACTTGGAGACACGGCAGGATTCTACTGCAACTAGCCCTCTATACTATACCCAGGAAACTAGCTCTGTGTGATTCTATGATCAAAACCCAGGAAACTAGCTCTATGATATGATCTAAATCCAGGAAATTAGCTCTGCGATATCATCTATAGCGTGGAAGCTAGCACTATGCATGGAAACTAGATCTATATGTGGAGACTAGCTCTCAGTCTACGGCTTGTAGAGTGTGTGCAGGTGCAATCAGACAAGAACAGTCACCCAGAACGGTTTAGGTCATAGATACCAGACAAACAGTGGAATGGCCACCAATTACAAGACTGTTGAGATAACTGATGATGTAATTCTTTCTTTTTTATTATTAGTCTGTGCTCTCAAAGATACACTACACCTTAAATATGACAATGCTAAAACCTGTGCTTAAAAACTTCATTTTAGGTTTGCATTATGGCAATTTCAAAAACATATAATCATGTAAATGTTGGTCGACTGGAAGTTTAGTTTTAGACAATTAATGCAGATGCCAAAGTATTAAGTAAAGTATTAAAAGTATTAGAAAACTAAATCCTGCAATATGATAATTTCTGTAGACTTTGTTTGTATATCTTATGTCAGTTTCGAGCACAAGGTGGCTGCCAAAGTTACTTCTGGTTGTCTGGTGACATAATTCACGCCTGAACCAGTTTAGGTCTATTCTTGTCTGAAGATCGAAACGTGCATTAAATTCTACAGAAGTGAGAAAGAGGAATAAAAAGAAGAAGAAGAAGAAGAGATAGGAAAAGAGATGGAGAACAGGTACAGAGAATAATAAGGAGAAAAGAGCAGTGAAAGTGTTATGTGGCTGTCATGGTGCAGAGAGCAGCATTGAGGTCTGCAGTGTGCACTGATGTGCTGATAGTGTATATATAGTGTGCACAATCAATGAGGCTGCTGCCACTGGTGATAACTACGATGGCAGTTGTCTTTGACTCAAAATCATTCTGGAGAATTTCTAAGACCATTTATCAATGAAAATAGGTAGAGATGCGCTTCCCATAGTTGATGAAATCATGAACATCAGGTTTTGCTTCATTTCACAATTGCTGTAGTTGAGATAGGTTCATATGATCCACAATCATGACGGGAGCACATTGTGATTGCTGTAGTTGAGATAATATCACAATCATCACGTAGGGGGGAGGGGAGACAGTGCTATACGCCTACCTTGCCCTTAAGAAAAGCTGTGAAGGCAACTTTGCATATCAAATAAAACCAAAATATGTGGAGCACCAGTAGGGATGTCAGCAGTATGTTATACACCCAGTAAAAGGGGTAGGTGAAGGGGTCCACCTTCACTGTGGTGTGCCCCTCTAACAGTGTGCTGCGGATCACCCTGGAAGGAGACAAGAGATTGGAGACGACGTCAGATTCACTTCATACAACAGTAGCAGGTCTTTGCACTGAAAACTGAAATGTCTCTAATCATGGTCCTTTGATTTAAGTGATTTCAAGATGATGAAAAAAAAAAAAAAAAAAAAAACTTTTACAAATGGGGCTCATGCAACTGATGTGAAATGGGAAACATAAAACGGGGTCCAAGGGACCTCCCAGGACCTGAGGTTTACGCATTTTTGGCTCCAAATAGTCAGAAATCAGCAGAAAGTTGGAAAAATCTCATCCGCGGAGTATCTGACTCTGTGTGGCACTAACCCACATTACCACCACCTTGATTAATTGTGCCGAACATTTCTACCTCGGCAAGAATGCCAGATACTGTACACTATGATCTACAAAACCCTTTCCTTCATTCAGCAGCCAAGTCATTCTGGCCACCATTATTTTCCAATCACAAATATAAACTCTTGGATGAAGATAGAGGCTGCAATGCTAAATCTATGTTATATCATCAAATATAATCTAGCAGAATTTATCATAACAGCAAATTTTACCAATAATAAATTGGTTACATGGTAATCAATAATAAATTGGGTACATGATAATCAATAATAAATTGGGTACATGATAATAAATTATAAATTGGGTACATGATAATAAATTATAAATTGGTTACATTATAGGCTATTAACATCAACATCATATTATTCAGTTAAAATATCTAAGTGCATCAAAATTAATTTTTCTATAAATCTGTGCACTACCTTAATTTTTCGGCCCTACTGAAAATTACTGAAAATTTCAATCAAAAACCTTGTGCATTTGTCTAAATGTTTGATAAAACACAATTAAGCAACAACTGATAAGTGATAAAACATTATTATGTATAAGTGCATCTTTGAAAGAAATTTCATCATTTTCTGCTTGGATTTATTTCTACAATGGCAATCCATCTTATGTGATCAATATTGGATAAACATTATGCATCTTTAATAATCATTATCACTTTAGCTAAAAAGGATTTCTACCTGAATCAGGTGATCAGTTGCCTGTCATTAATATTTGATAATATTGCTTAGAGCCTTGAAGGTAAGCATATTTCAAAATCATGACTAGCACCATTTCAACAAAAAAGATCAATTCTTAAAATTATAATCTACTTATCCAATGCAAAATAAAAACAAATCCAAGTGACATATTAAAAGGTTTCAGTCTGAAAGAAAGTGCATCATTTTGTCAGTGCAATTGTGCCAGTAAACCAGTAATAAAGGTCCGCACTTACCTTGTAGGAAATATGATCAGTCTAGTGATGAGCCAGACCAGAGCAAACCCACCAAACAAGAAATCACACAGCTTCTGCCGACCTGCATATTTTGCCATCTTTGCTGCCTAAAACACAGAGAATAAAACATTATTTGATGGTTTTCTTCTCACATTAAACATATTACCCAGTTTATGAAACACTAAACATGGTCCTTGTCACAAAAATTAAATAAATAAATAAATAAATAAATAAATAAATAAATAAAAATAAATAAAATAAAATAAATTAAAAAATAAACTTCTACTTCATAAATTATATTATCTAATGCAATGTGTAATATGGCAGAAATATATGACGAGAGGTGCCATCTAGTGAGACTTCAGCCACCAAAAGTTACCAGGAAACAGCCAGATCTGTTTTCTTGTTAAAACTCAGAACCCTGTTATGTATCTTTTATGTATAAAAGGATTAAACATATTGTTTACAATATAATATTGTACTAAAATCGATTCGACGGATATTTGGTTAAAAGTTGATCCCATTCAAAACAGAAGACTTACTAGTCCGAGGGTCAAATATGGCGACCCACTACAAAGCTTGCCCTCTTATCCATTAATAGACACCAAATAGATATCCCGTGGGGAAGTATTCAAGTGGGTCGGCCATATTTGACCCCCAGACTAGTTAGTTCCCTATTCTGAATGGGACCACTGAGACGTGGTTCTTGTCAGTCAGAAAGTCCTCCAACATCTAACAAACTCTGTACTATCTAACACATGCCTTTCATGTGTGTGTGTGTGTGGTGGTGGTGGTGGTTGTGGTGGTGGTTGTGGTTGTGGTGGTGGTGGTGGTGGTGGTGGTGTGGGGGGGGGTATTACCTCTAGCCAGAAGTCAGCAGCATCATGGACAGCTAACACCAGTGTACCTATCCTCACATAGTTATTGGACCAAGACATTGACATCAGAAATATAGTCACAATGTGGTGGAGGAACATCTCCCAGAAATCCTGAAATTATAATTAAAATTAATTTATTAACTAATTTATCCAAGGCAGATTTGTTGAAAATAACATTTCTTCTCAGTTATTGTGGTATTAAGAAAAGTTAATGGATCCAACTCCTCTTTTGCAGACATACATGAAAATATGCACAGAAACTAAAATAATAATAATAATAATAATAATAATAATAATAAAACACATCACCATACTGTACCTTTCTCTTGATGTCAGCAAACTGTGAGGCAGAGAGAGACCAGTAGAAAGCTAACTCTAACATGTAATACCAGAATACATCATCTGTTACATGCTGCAAGAGAAAGAAATCAATATCACAGACAAATTTACCCTTTTTTCTAGCAGTGATGACATTTCAAAATTTCATCACACATATTTGAGCAGATGTAGCTCTGTTTTTATTTTAGTTCTGTTAAATAACCTGTTATTGTAACCCCAACTGCAAACCTGAGTAATTTACTGGTACATGTATTCTATAATAGCAAAAGCTTATTTTTAAAAAATTAATTTTTGATAACAATGCCCCAGTCATTGGCCTGTAAGTTCACCTAGTGTATTACCTGGTCTGGGTAGCCCATCCAGCAATTCCGTGTCTCCCAAAACCATGGTTTCTGCAGTTATAGAGGAATTTATTAACTTCTACATATAACAATATTTTCACAGTAAACCGTATACATTTACTTAAATCCACTTCTCTTATTGTTTAATCAGAAGTTGGATAATTATGATTGAAATCATCACTACTGTTACTTATGTAAAATGATTCAACTTAAATGTGCATTCTTGCAAATAATAATGATACAACATATAATATCAACAAATAATATTAACAAATATATTAACAAAGTTGGGAAATATACTAATATTACTAAGTGAAAAAACTTACTTTAACAAATTGAAAATTATCTGCAATTTCTAATTTTTATAAAAAAAGAATTAAAACAACATGTGATTGACAAAAACACTGTTGTGGCTAAATCATTAGTATAACACCCAATACAAGGACTTATGAGGGCAAGGAGGCACCGAGGTCACACTCACAACCAAAGTTGATCCACAGACTAGCTAACAGAACTGCAGATCAAATATTGCTGATCCACTTAAAAGCTTCACACATAACCCCCTAATAGACACCAAATAGATTCACTGCAGGGAATTATGTGGCAATCTTTCAAGTGGGGAGGCCATATCTGATCCGTGGATCTGCTGGTCTGTAGATTAACTTTAATTGTGAATGCAATCAAAGAGACTGAAAGGATGCGGCTGTATTAGTTCACTAAATGAAGGAAAATAGATATGCAACATGCTACACCTTACCCTGGGAAAATAAATGATGCCCTGGGGTATGGGTACTGCCCCAGAGGTCTGAATGAGGCCCCCATTTACAAAAACTGACTGCTGAAGCATGACTTTGATTTAATTTTTTAAAACACTATTTTCTTTTAATAAGACACCTGTTCTGCTATTGTGAACGCATTTCAATCAGTCCACATTTTCAATATCAAAGTGTATCAGGACAGCGTTTTCTACTGTAGAGAAAATTGTACTTCTATTTTTGAACCACACTATCTTTTAAATGATTTTGTTTTAGAATGAAAATATAGTTTATCAATTTTGTTCAGATAAAGTGAAAATAACCATACTCCCATGTTTATGGAAATCTACCCCTGATTGATTGAATAGGGAGATAAAGGGATTAAAGGATTAACTTGGGGGGGGGGGGGAATTTTCTGCCTTAAAATAACCCATACATGCACCCTGGGACTATAAATGGTATTTGAGGGTCATCAACTGTGGTTTTATTCAGGAGGCAGACAGACTGGTGCTAAATCAGACCTGATATATATGACCACTAAGGTAATGACTCCATCTTTTCTATGGGGAAAAGATGATCAAATTGAATCTTTCAGATTTTTAATTTCTGAATCATTAAAATATATTCTTTCTAGCATAGCTATTTTTAGTGTATAGAACAGGGCCATGCTTTTCAAATTTGTTGTTATCACACAACAAATATGTCAATCTTCAGAATTTATGATTAAAAAATTTACAATATTTAAAATTGAAAACATCAAGTCATTGCCATACCTTCTCACCAGAATCAAATATTAAAAGTCTCTTTTAAATCTGGTTAAGAAACAACACAAGTCTGTCTGCCTTCCATTCTAAAACAGCCCTGTCTGAACAGTGTTAACAATGATTGGGTCTATTGTCCAACTTACATCCCATAATATGGTGATACCGTACACAAAGGCTGATAGGTAGAAACAAAACCTCCAGCTACAAAAGAACAAATAGGAAACTCTACACACTGCATGAGCTGAAAGACAACTTCATTAGCGTGCCACCAGTACATTGTGTTGCCATGGCAACATAGCAATAGGACACAAACAAATTTCCGGGGCTTGTTAATCATGGTCTCAGAGGTACATGATGTATGAAGGGACTGTAAAAGCAAGAATAACCACAGAGCTTGTTTGAACAATAATCAAGTTTTAGCTGTGGTCTCTAGAGATAATATATATATATATATACCCACAAATCAATGGTATAGTTTATATATCATACTGAGTGAAATGCCACTGGAGATGGTGTGTTTTGTGAAACATTCTGCACAAAATTATAAAATTCTGTACTTGACTGTGTTATGTATAAAAAGTGTATATATATATATGGAATATAATAACCCATTTACACTGCCATCTGAAAAAGCTGGATTTTTCAAATTCGAATTATTCAAATTGCTGCTAACAGGATTTTGAGAATCCGGTTAACAAAAATCCTCATGTGTTCAGACTACTGCAGTTATTTGAATTGGGAGCTAATTAGCCATTAATTCGGATAAAAGGCTGTAGTTTGAACGGATTATAAGTGTTTGTTTGGAGGTAGGTGTAATTTGGACTGTTCATATCTGACATATTTGAGTGCTTCCAGACATCATCTGGTAGCACAAAGTTAACATTATGATTTATTAAACTGAAACCAGAGAGAGATAATCAGAGGTTCAGATGTGAAATATAGTTTGAAAAGAAGAAGAAAATGTTAGATGTTTCTGTCCTAATATGTCTGTCCTTTTGGTCCTACAGATTGTAAAATATTCAAAAATCTTCAATACGAGGGGGGGGGGGGGGAAGAGAGAGAGAGATTTCTCAAACCCGTCCCAAGGATAGGCCTCCATTTTGCAATACAGGTCTGATAAAACACTTTTGATTGATAACAAATATGTAATAGTTTGAAAAGAAGAGTGTTACATCTGTAGATCTATGAATGTCATGTCACTGTCCTCAACATGTCTGTCATTTCTATCTCCCAGCTGTTATTTACAACTTTCTTCAACATTAAATTTATCGTCAAAAATTTTCAAAGGGCGAATAGGCAAGGAGGGAAAAAGTTCTATCAAACCTGCCCTAAGGGAAGACCTCCATTTTGGAATTCAGAGTTGATAAAACATAATTTTGATTGCTAACATCATCACTGTATAAATTATTGATCACAGACACCAGGGAAAATTTCGAAATCAAATTTCCTCAATTTTCAAGAGTAACTTTTGCCTTCACTGTCCAGATGATCATGTTAACTAGATGATATCAAATAAATCCCACAGCCCAACCAAGACACACCACTCAACTCCGGCGACAGCGAGTGGGATAACAAAGAATTCAATGCACTCCCCAGAAAGAGACAACCATAGCAACCTTATCTGTTGTAATGTGAGGACTAGTGAGATGAAGAATATTGTTTTGTGTGAAAAGTGTAAGAATCACAGCAAAATAAAGAGTGGAAATACATAGATGTGTGCACAGCACAAATATTAAATCAATGCAATAAAACCAATTATTTATTATGTGGTACTCAACAGGTGTTTTGACAAAATCTCTAACTGTATAATAGAAACAGCATGCTACAAGATTTGAAAACTAATTAAAACTCTTCAAATAAATTACCAATTATTACTATATTCTAAATGAGAAAACAAACCAAATCACAAGTAATGAGTAGCCAAGTTTTAGGGAATAAGAACAATCTCTAAATACCTATTTTCTGAGAATTTTACAATATCACTAGGTCTGCCCAGATTCCTCCTGAGCCGAAACCATCGCTCTACACGCCGCCTGGTCCAATCTGTTTGTTTTACTATGGCCTGATAAAAAATAGAGAAAAATTCAAACTTGAGTACTAGAATATATAACAGTTATAACGTACAGTTATGGCTAGAGCCAAATATTTATAATTTTACAGTTGCATCAAGATCAGTTTAAATACCATACTATATGTTATAAATCCTGAGTACTAGTAGCCATTTTTACTCAGTGGAAACTAGGTGTGATGTTCTCTTGCACTAACAAGTGATGATTTCTAACAACCACTGACCTTTAGACTTGTCAAAAATATCCATTTTTAAAGAAAAAAAAAATATGTATAAAAAAATCCACTCACCTGTAATTGTTTATCACTTGGATTTTTATTTCTTTTAAATTCATTTTCTAATATGGGGTTGTGCGGGACTTGGACAATAACTTTTTCTTTCACTCCCAAATGTACAGCAATAGGAGCAGCTATGTACCTAAGTAACGACAAATAATTAAAACTAATAATGTGCAATGAAAATGAAATTTGGTGAAAGTGGGGCAGCATTTATAAGATATTCTGAAGATACTATACAGATAGTAAGACTGAGTTCCCATACTTCAGATCCATCTGGATAGACCTAACTCCCTGGGGGTTCATGCTAAATTGCTATCATTTCAAAAGGGAGCCGAGTGCGCATGAAAGTTTTAACTAAATTACCCCCTAACAGCTTTTAGTAGGCAGTACAGACATTTAAGCTGGTTAAGCTGACAGCAATTTAGTGAGACTCCCCAGGTAGATATATCGATCCAAATATCTGTGGAAATCTTATGTAATTTCTTTTTTTTTCTTTATTTACTGGATTTTCTTTTTTTTTAGTTTTGCTGAATACTCTCAAGGACAAAATCAATAGTTTTTCCCATCCAAATGTTCAAGGCTTCTTGAGCATTACTGGAAGAATATCAAATTCACTGAGGAAGCAAGTATTGGATAACCATCTTCTCTCAAGGAAGCTAATCATTAAGCTATTTCAGCATTAAGAAATCTGATTCTCTCCATTAAATACACACACACACACACATCATGATTAAGCTTGCTGAAACTGCTTATAATGACAGGGGGATATTTCTGTCTTGTAAGATAACAATCAGGGAGACAATGCAAGTATAAATCCTTAGCAATGTGTTAAAACTTGAATCAACACCACATTCAACAGTTAACAAGAGCAGAAAATGATCTACACCACAAACTGACAGGTGAGGATCAAAGGTGAGGGGCCAGTGTGTTCCCCACATTATAAGGTGTGATAACTGAATTCCCAAGGTACATTGTGTATATATAAATAGGCAGGTGTCTCAGTGTTCCTAGGTAATGACACAGAGCTACAAGGTAAATACAGATGACCTGTCTGATATCAAACAGCTAGAGTAATAGAATAAATGGAACCTCTTCCAGCAGCATCTATTATTTACTATGACATAATTGATGCTCCTATTCAGAAATGCATGAAAGCATTGTTACATATCAGTCATACAGGAAGACCTACAAAATAGATATTACTGCTTTGTTATATATATTAATCATGGTCACATGTATTGGCTATGAATGGTTGTTTCTTTTGCACTGTAATAAAATGAAATGTTCTAAAACCAGATCGACCTGGACTTGTGGGTAATGGGGACAAGCTGACCCACATAATTACCATCACACTGAGAATAACCTACTCTACAAGTCAGCTGGGATCTTTTTTCCTCTTTTTTTTTACAATTTCTCACTATACAGTAGAGAAATATGCACATAAGTAGCCATTGAAATATCTGTGAATATTGATAGCATAATTATCCTCTGTGGATCCAGTAAAGGACAACCCTAAACAGTGTGCAGGTTCTTGTTGTCACTTAAGGTGACTGATAGTAAAAGGACCAAAGTCATAGAAACACAGCCCTGGGCTTATAAGTTTTTATGATAAATTAAAACAAACTTCCCAAAAGGCCAATTAAAGACGGGGATTAAGGACAGTGTCCAACGGATGACGCTCTGGCGCCAATTTGAGAGGAAATATGCCGTTTTCGGTATTGGGATTTTCTCTATAACCAAGACAGCTATTCAAGTGATTCAAAAGGCCTCATAAAGCTGGGTGAAAGCACTACAGCGGGGTACCAGGGAATTGTCTTAAACTATTTACTTTTGATTTTATCATCTTTTACGTTAAATCAGCCCATATTTCAATGGGTTATTCATTTCAAAAGGCGATAACTTTCAAACAAACAATTTCCTCTTAAACCCCTGATATCATGCTGTAGTCCACATTCCTAACAACAATAGGTGCAATTTTTGTAACGATCGGTTGCTCAGATAGTGAGATATACTTGGCAGCGATTCACTTATCTCGTCAATATAGAAAGCTGTTAAAACAGCCAAAAACATTCACAGGTTGGTTAACAGGGCTTATTAGACAAATGCTTAGCTGGCAAATTTACCTGTTATCGGTTATACGATCAGGTGGAACCATTGCTCATTGTCATCTAAAAATATTTTGTTTGGGTGCTTTAAAAGGGCAGAAAATCGTGCTTTTGTTACATTTTCCGACCACTCGTTAGGCTTGTAAGCGTGCCGCCATTTTGATTGACAGCTCTGGAGAGGGCCCTAGCCTAGGGATGCCCAGTAGGGTGTCAAGGATATGTAGAAAGCGCTAACAAAGGCGATTACATTTAACCGCAATTAAGAGGTGTAAAGTTGCATCTGAACGTTTCAATAGGTCTCCCTCGGCAATCAAGTAATTTTACCTGAGATATTCCTTTTCTGTTATCGGCAAAGTGATCAGATAAAACTGTCTGTCGAGAGCAAGTGGCCGTCACTTGTGTTAATACGAGTTTTTTGACGGGTAACGCTGCAGGATTATTTTGCACGGCACTTGGTAGTCGTCAGATCAACGGAAAAATCCAATGATTACTTCAGAGCGGTCTCTCTCAAAATGCCAGCTAAGATAAAGGGGAGACGCTCAGCTGCACAAGATTCAGCGGTAAAAGTGGCTGAGAGAAGGCTTTTGAATAGGCCTATATATTTTATTTTTACACACATGACACTTAGACCCTATTTGCTTTTTACCTGCTAGTCTTGACTATTCTCGGGGTCTTTTTGTGATTTTCATTTTTGGACACTTGAACTCTTTCTTCCTGCTTGATCAGTGATTTTGAAATTGTTTTTCTCCAAACATCGCAAAATGCAAAGCCGCTAACATGCGTTTTTATTTTTATTGTTTTAATCATGCTGTCAACCCTTGCTTGGATTTCTCTCGTTTGGCCATTCACATCACAATTTTTCGCGTGTCTCTCAAGCTCCATGATATCATATCTTGGAGAATAAAATTTTATTTTGTCAACATTAGATTTACCTTTTGCAAACGGCGACCACGGTTTCGTAACGTGTCGATATATATCGCAAAAATTAAGAGCTAGGCTAAAAGTATCCTTTCTAGCGTTTTTTTAATTTTATTATCGATTTTTCTTTTATTTGTCAATTAATTTAGACGATTCGATTAACTCTTTCACCCAATTATTTGGTATACAGAAATCAGTCATCCGACTGAACAAATAGGGCCGGTTTTCCCCAAACGCCACGCATAGGCCCTACTCTCTTTCAAAAAATTCCTTCTTTCCTCTGGAAATGGACTTTTAACACGGACTTTTCTCTTCCCCGTAGTGTACTAGCTAGACTTTTTCGCTGCTAAGCTGATGTAAGACTTATGACCTATTACCGCACACGTAATCGGCTTATAACTCATTAACTGTGCTCCGACCCCCTCATGGCAACGGCCCTTAGTAACAGAGGCGTGGCTTAGTTGTCAGCCTGACTGGGGCGCGTGCCGGTTGAAAAACTCATCAAAAGACACCTTTTGCGATGCAAATTCATAAAAATTATTACATCCAACGTTAGATACTTTTTTGATTAATATAAACACACAAAAAACTCAAAAACATGATTTTAAGCGTATTTAACCCTATCACCGGCCTTAATAGTCTATAAACATCTGAAACACTCAGGGTGTCTGCCACTGTTAGTCTCAATAACTTCACTAAAATATGGTCAAACACTTAACAGATTTTTCTTTAAATACACTTTATCCTTCCATTACTACAAAAACACTGACTATGCTTTGTTTTCAAATTCTTTTCAGTACACTTTCAAACAAGGCGTGATAAAGCATTTATTTGAAACCAAAGTTCATTACTAGTGCATGCTCACAAGAAAGCAACTGTGTGGACTTTATGCTCTTTTAAGGTTCAAATAGTACCATTCTCAGCAGGGCACTGGGGTTGTCATGTAGCAAATCCTTACTGCACAAACTTCATATGCCTATATTACACATGCTATAATATACTGCACTGACAGAGCAGTTTTCATTATTCAAGTCTCCTTCTTATGACAAAAAACATAACACCACACATTTAATTTACTCTTTGCCCTGTAAAAACACTTCCCCACACCTTCTGATATTGTACGTAATACATCTTGTTTCTGATGTTAGATCTACATACCCTAGACAAACATGCTTATTCAAAGGGTGATTTTGTACTTTGCTCACAACCTAAAGAGTAAATATATCTTTATGCCTGTTTGGGAATTTGAGTGCTGCACCCTTAGTACTCAGTATTGTGTATTCAGAGCTTGTCCTTTCAATTACATAAAATCATGTAGTCTAGGCTACTAGCGATTGTATAAATGATTAAGAAGTTACTTGCAGTTGGCCTAGATAAAGAAATGAGAATACTGGTTGAAAATAAATTGCACGAGAGCAGCGCAGTACATTACCCGACAACGGTTGTACATTTCCTTTTTTTTTTTTTTTGACTCCTTACTCTAAATTCAATGTGAGATGGCCATTTATATCATTTTAATTATCGAAACATAGTTGTTGTTGATGCTGTGCAATGTTTCCTGCTTTCTCAAGCACAAGAACAGAAATTACATTACATCTTGCACCATCACTAATTGCTACATATTGAAGATTGTAAAATGCTATCAGCTCTAACCCATGCCCAACTGTTACTCATAGTTACAATTAAAATTTTTCAACACAACAGATATAACGGAAGCAGGTGCGTTGCCTTCCATGCTAAATAACAGTTTCAAATGAAAGGAAAAAAATACACAATGAATCCAAGCTAAACTGCAGTCTTCAATTAAAGGAAGGAAATATATTTTCAGGATGTCCAAATGAATAATCTTTCCCATGAATCATTCATAAACCTGACATATGTGTTGTACGTCATTATCTCTCTCATAAGGTCATATTAGCAAATCTATGTAACACATGGTTAGCTAAGACCCCATTCTCAGAGATTAGATCGATCCAACTAGATCGACCTCACTCCCTGGGGGTTCAAGCTAAATAGCTGTCAGCCGAGCAGGCACAAAAGTTAATTACTCCCTTACAGCTTGTAGTAAGCAGGACGGACATTTAGCGACCGTTCACATGAAAAATCTATTTTCTAAAAATCAAAAAATCTATTTGCGGTATCTTGTGATCACGGTCTGTGCCCTGAATACCCCACGGCGTAATTACTGGCAGAGCGAGCCAGTTAATTCCAAAGCTGTAATTAATTCTCGGCTGCACTCAGAGGAGATTCTGACACCTTGATGCATGCGCAGTAGTATCTCTAAGCTGTGGAGTTCATCAGTTTAGTTGTGACGACTCAAGCATACAGACGTGTAATATGGCTAGTGGTAGTGCTTGTTATTGCACAAAATCGACAAACATATTTACTTTACTGCAACCTCCATTTACTTTCTAACTTCCTACTGCGCATGCGTCAAGATATGAGAATCTCCTCCGAGGGCAGCCAAGAACTAATTATAGCTTTGGAAGTAACTGGCTCGCACTGCCAGTAATCATGCCATGGGGTATTCAGGGCACAGGCCGTGATCACAAGATACGGCCAATAGATTTTTAGATTTTTAGAAAATAGATTTCTCACGTGAACTGTCCCTTAAGCCGGATTATCTGATAGTAATCTAGTGAGACTCCCCACGGGGATAGATCGATCTAAAATCTATGGGAATGCACCCTAAGTGTCCCCTCCTTTCCTGGATGTCAGAAGGTTATACCAAAATCTACTCAACCCCACCTCACTACTAGCAGACCTTAGGATATTGATGAAGAAAACAAAGCAACAAAACATTTGAAACATTCAGGCCAATCTAAATTTAGTAAAAATCAGTTTTATAAAATCCTCATCAGGAGGAGACAAAAAATCAATGTGCTCGGTTGATTCTTTCCCATCGTCAGACCAAAAATTCAGAATGCGCCTTTGGTTTTCTCCCATCACGTGTGGCATTTTGCACCTACGTAACACGTGGCTTCATGACAGAAATTTACAAACAGCTGCTGCAGGAGTAGGAATAGGTGCATTTCCAGAGAGAAAGAAAAATTACATGCTGAATCTGAGGTTGCAGTCCATCTTCACAGTCAATTGGTATAAGTATAAATACTACACATACTTGTACTAAGCCATTAATCTTTCACGCTATAATCTGTATCTACAGGCCTTGTAATGTGTATAAGCTGATTAACAGCCCGGGAGCCACCGGCTCATATGACGGTTATTTTGGAGAACTTTAGATTTGGCCTCGTTTTTNTGGGGGGGGGGGGGGGGGGGCTTTTTTTTTTATTTTTTTTGGAGAACGGGCGAAAATCCGTGCGCGCGCAGGATGTCATCCATAAAATTAAAAAAGTGTGGCCTAAACCTGACATATGCATGTACATAAGTATCTCTCTTATAAGGTCATATTAAGTAAATCTATGTAACACATGGTTTGGTAAGTGCCCCCTCCTTTCCTGGATGTCAGATACCATTAGATTTTAGATCGATCTATCCCCGTGGAGAGTCTCACTAGATTACTGGCAGATAATCCGGCTTGAATGACCGTCCAGCCTACTACAAGCTGTAAGGGGGTAATTAACTTTCGTGCCCGCTCGGCTGACAGCTATTTAACATGAACCCCCAGGGAGTTGGGTCGATCTAGTTGGATCGATCTAAACCTCTGGGAATGGGGTCTAAGGCCTTAGGATCTTGATAAAGAAAACAAAGCAACAAAACATTTGAAACATTCAGGCCAAATCTAAATTGTAGTAAAAAAAACAACCCCTCTAAATTAGTTTTAAAAAATCCTCATCAGCAGGAGACAAAAAATTAATGTCCTCGGTTGATTCTCTCCCATCATCAAACCCAAAATTCAGAATGCTCCTTTGATTTTCTCGCATCACGTGTGGCATTTTGCACCTAGGTAACACGTGGCTTCATGACAGAAATTTACAAACAGCTGCTACAGGACTAGGAATAGGTGCATTTTCAGAGAGAAAGAAAAATTACATGCTGAATCTGAGGTTGCAGTCCATCTTCACAGTCAACTGGTATAAGTATAAATACTACACATACTTGTACTAAGTCATTAATCTTTCACGCTATAATCTGTATCTACTGGCCTTGTAATGTGTATAAGCTGATTAAGCTAAGTAGTTACTGGTTAGTAGAAGTGCATGCATGCATGCTTTCTTTCTTTCTTTCCATTTCTAAAATCAACAGTATTACAAAAGAAGCCAACATGTTGTTGAACTTCATATACCACGTTATGTAATAAAAACGGGAAATTAAAGAAATATCTCATCTAAACAAAATTCCCGCAGATTAATTTAGTTCAAAATAACGAATGAATAACCCAAAATATGATCTATTTTATCTCAGCATTAAAATCATGTGCAACATTTAAATAAAAGGGCGTGTTATGTCTATCTGGACCGTCCAGTCTTAACCCTAACCCAAGGTAATTAAATGCTCGGGCCGGTAAGTGGGCGTGACGAAACGATCACCCCACTTTCGCCACACGGCGGGTCAACACAAATACTGACCTTTCAAAGAGTAGTCTTAGCACCAAAAGCACCACTGCTAAAGGGATAGGATACCAAATGAGATCTTGCACTTGTGGATGATATATTCCATTATCTGTATTTTCTAAATGTTTCCATGTAAAGCCTTCTGGAAGCCAAAATCTTTCGTTCCAAAACAATGAACACAACGTCCGCCATGCTTCCATTTCGGCCGTCTGCTGAGATCTCGTGCCAGGCGAGATTTTACGTGAACTCTCTGAAATCGAGGCTTTTCCTTTTCGTGCAGGCCGCCATATTGCCTAGGTAATACCCAGAATTGGGTGGAAATAAATCCACGATCATCTCAATTATTGGAACTATTTCAAACTTTTGCGTTTGTGTGAAAATAAAGTGTAAAATTTTCTGTCGACAAGGTTTCTTATGACTAGATGACGGTAGAATTTAGAGGTGTAATCGCTGTCGAAATTCGGCATGTGTTACATTTTAAAGGGTGATTCTTGAATGGGCAAGTGCTTTAAAATAAGTGTCGGCAGTTTTTATGGCTACCAAATTTCTGAACAGAAAAAAAAAATAAACTTCCTATCTAGAGACGCATATTGTTGGTATGTAGGGCCTTGATTAGTGGTTCTTCAAAAACTTTGTTTAGGTTTCAGTTGTTGCGGTCTGAAAAAAAAAAATGCATTGTACTATGAGCAGTGTGCATAACTTGGATGTGCTATCATTTTAGGTGCAAATATGGGAAAATTTATGAAATCTGGGAAAGTTGTCCTAGTGTTAGCAGGACGCTATGCAGGCAGAAAAGCTGTCATTGTTAAGGTGAGCAGCTGACACGGTTTAAGCTTGTGTGCATGTGGTATTGCTCCTCCTCTCTCTTTTTCTCTCTCTCTCTCTCTCTCTCTCTCTCCACATAAGTTTAGATCCTCATTGATTTTGCAAGCCATCTTACTGATATTGGGCTTATCATGAAAGAGAACTAGTAGATGACTTAGTACAGATCTATGTGTTTAACTCTTTCCCACTTGTTCATCATTTGTAAATGCCACTGTTGTTAACGGATAAGCCTTTACAATACAATACATTTTATTTCATGTCGGGTATAAATTGAAAGGAAACATTAGCTTTACAGCTATTCTCCGACTGGGTAAGGACAAAAACATATCTACAATAATGCAATATTTTTACATGAAGTCTAGTAAGATGATAAAAGGAAAATCTTCACGGTTAATGTTACAGTAAACATATAATAATGCATGCTGTTGCTTGTGATACTTCAGAACTACGATGATGGTTCCTCTGAGAAGCAGTACGGCCATGCTTTAGTTGCCGGAGTTGACCGCTACCCACGCAAAGTGACCAGAAGAATGGGCAAGAAGAAAGTAGCCACCAGGTCCAAGCTGAAGGCCTTTGTCAAAGTTTACAACTTTAACCATTTGATGCCCACAAGGTAAGCTTGAATTTTAAAGGGATAATAACTCTTCGTATGAGATCTATATTTCACAATAAAAACATTGTGAATAACTCATAGAAATATAATATATTCTGTTTTACCACAAAAACGGCAGTTATAGCTATTATTCTGATATCTGAGCTTGTCTTCAGACCACGTGACCTCCATTGATGGCTATATTTTAACAAAAAAAAACAAACTTTTTAGAAAAAAAAACAGGGACTAACTTTGAATGTAAAAATGGATTCATTAACCACTGGTAAGTATGGAAAATTTGTTGTTTACTCCAGGAAAATTCATTTTTTGGCCGAAACGAAGAGTTATTATCCCTTTAAGATTTAGATGGATGTAGACAGTGTTCAGATTCAAACAGTATACCCCCTGGATCCATCCAACTCCTTGTTGGAATTTTTGCTAGCATGACATGTCTTGTTTGAATAGTGAGGTAGATGTTGATTGTTCTCCAGCAACTTGAGGAAACATGTCAGATAGATTACAGTGATTGCACTTTATCTCCCACTGAGTTGGAATGCTAGTACTCTGGGGTTTATGTGAAACACACTACAGTAAAGCTCTTTTTGTCTGGGCATATTTGCTAATAATAATGTCAGAGTAAACTAACGAAGCTACGTGCCAACAAGTCCTGAACATGTCTTTTCTAGTTGGTTTATATTTATTTGAGAAATGAATTAGAAATCTGTTGCTCACAGAAGACAAATTCCTGACCTTGTTAAGATGGCCTCCTTCTTTAGCTGAGGTAGCCATTGTTCTTTATTCACTTTAATGCTTTGGACTATGAGAGATAAAGAGTTGGGATGGTTCAAATCATGTGTGTCTGATCAGAAGACACCTATTTTTTTCTTGTTTGCCAAGTTTTTAATCCTCATCTTCTGCTAATACCCAGTAAAAGTATTGACTTGCATTCCCTGGGTCCTTGTGGGTGGACTGTGTATGGATTTGCTCTGAGTTCAGCTTTTCAGATTAACATGCTGCCCTTCGGCATTACAGAAAAGCTGCTGATTATATGAGTATGTTGGAAACTAAAGGAAGCGTGTCATTCAGTTAAGCTGATTGCACTTAGCAAGAGTTCCTGCTGAGTTGGGCCTATCCACGTAGACCGACAGTTGTTTTATGGGAATGGGGTTTGAAAGGAAAAAATTCGGAAGATATTTTACACATATTAATCAAATCTCTAACTGTCAGTTTCATTCCTGTAGTGGTTTTATTCCAGATATTCAGTGGATGTGAACGTAGACAAACAGACCGTCAACAAGGACGCATTCAGAGACCCCGCGCTGAGGAGGAAAGCGCGGCGAGAGGTGAAGATGAAGTTGGAGGAGAGGTGAGAAGACAGCAAACACAGCACAGTTTGTGAAGAATTATCTCAGCTTACTAAGTATTTTAAGGTTTAATGTAGCCATTTTAAATGCAGCATCTCGGTGGTGCAAGTGATTGTATTTATTTCCGCAAAACAGTTTCTGTAATTCATAAATTGCAAGATAAATCTGTGTCAGAGACTGAATGCTGATTTGAGCTGAGAAAGTTGACTTGATTTATGTACAGGAATATTAGTTAATTGATGACCTATTATTGATACACAGTAACAAGTAATGTACCCTGTAAAACATTCATTGTAAATGCAAAGAATTGGTCCAGGTTACTTTACGTAGTGGAAAACTTCACTGTTTCCTCGTGGCACTTTATTTAGACTGTTTCACTGCTTTTAAAGTTGTATGGGAATCTTTTGAAATGATTGTGATTAATAAACATTATTCAGAAGTGGTAACAATTTTTAAGAACAATTTTTCTTTCTTTTCAGGTACAAGACTGGCAAAAACAAGTGGTTCTTCCAGAAGCTGCGATTCTAAATATTGCCGTCAATTTATTGTACAAAACACAAAAAGACTGTAACATATTAAAAAAAGCCAATTGAAAAGAATAATATACTGTGGTTTCTTGTTCTTTTGTCTATTATGCACCTTTTTGTTATCAAGAAGAAAGCCCAACAAACACAGAAAATGTAACAACTACAACAACGCTGTAAACCTCAAAAGAAAAAAAAAGGAAAGTAAGGTAAAGCTGCATCAGGAATGATCTTGTAGAACAGAAGGATTCTTGGTAAAACCACTTCAAAATTGGGATTCATCGCTGCTGTTGGCCTTGGCTGAAGACTGGCATGAAATGGGATTCCTTTTACCACTAAGTAAAATTGTTTGAGAATATTGTCTCCCCTTACTTTTTTAGTCGGCCAGTTGGTTAAATATCACCTGCCCAATCCAAATAACAGCCAGTATTTTAGCGATTTTAGAATGATGTCAATTTAAGATGCCCAATCTTTAAATAGCAGATCTGGACACGGAACTGGCTTGTTCGCTCCCCCCATTGTTTTGTGGAGGTGGAACAATTAATGAGACAAATGCAAATAAAGAAAGGTTCCATCCCTGACTGTCTCCGCTACTCGTCGCAGAAAAAAAAGTGATTTTTTTCATCCCGACCCTCACCTGAACATAATCCTTGATCCCGCAGCGCGCTGTTAAACCAATGATGTTTTATTTTATTTCGCTGAGTATTTGTAGTGCATCCCAACTGAAATAACGTGCACTGGAATATATTACCCATGGTGATAATTTGATCACCATGAACAGATATGGTTCAGTTTTCCTTTGATTGTGGTAGGTGCGACAGCAGATGTGCGCATCTAACGCATCCGCTGTGCACAGTTGTAAAACCATAGAAGTAAAAGTGATTGCTGATCTTTACCTTATGTTTCCATTTAACAGTTAGTTATACTTTAATTATATAGTTAGGTACCTGTAACGGACACCCTTGGGTTCCTAATACTAACTTATTACAGAAATGCAAATGATGACATGAACAACAGAAAGTTTGAATGAGTGACTCAAGATAACTGGCAAAAACTGTTGAATAAGAAGAAGAATAAAAAAGTTAAGGATTTTAAGTTCAAATTGTCGATGATATGCACTTCGGCAAGCATTTTCAAAAAAAAAAAAAAAAAAAAAAAAAAAAAAAACATTCTCTCCTCTTTCTCTACGCGGTTGATTTGTGCATAGAAGTAGTTTCTCTACTTCTATGATTTGTGCTAGCGCAACTCTTGGTTCGACTCGTCTTGGAATTACTGACAGAAAACGCCCCCTACACTTGAGTGGGAGGAGGAAGCACACACTCTAGTGAAAGTTGGTGACGGTGACCTAAGTTTTTAACTTACTTTACAGCCACCAGATACTGGTTACAAGAAGACCTGAGTTTACGGATAACATATTTAGGTAGGTTGCTTTCGTTGATTATCTTAGCATCGTAGAACGGTAAATAGAAATGGGTTTTGCTGTGTCACAAACTTCGGTCCCTCGATTCTCGTTGACACGACTACGCAGTTCGCTTTGAGACAATTCGGACTTCACAAATTTACTGCACAATCTTTTCTCATGTTCTCACTGGTTAGATAGGTGTGATTTATAAGTACATAGGTGAATTAAGTGCTGAATCGTTATCAAAGTATCCCTGGTGACATGTAGGATATCTAGAAATTAGTTATTTTAAAGAAAATTTGAAGAAATGAGTTCAAAGTTCCGAGGGAGGGACCCCCTTTTTACTGTCCTTACGGTTTACGCTGGGGAGAAGATGTGATCCTGAAATGGGTGGTGTGGTCATAGGCAATTACATGACTTATATATCTTTTATGTGCATTTTTTATAAAAGTAAAAGATATCATTCAAATAAAATTGATAATTACACAAATGGTTAAACACATATTAGTAAGTGCAAGTCATGGGGATGGGCCAGTGATAACCAACACATTTCAAGTGTAAAAGTAAAGAAAAATCTTTAAATCATTTTAAGATAACTGTGCAATAGTCAGCAGCTGTTAATTATCTTCAATCTGATCATGTATCTTTTATTTTATATTTTATAACTTGCTTAACCGCTTGAACTGTCCCTTTAATTCCCTTTAATGTGATCTGTTAAATCTAATTTGATAAAACAAATTGAAACCATCAAACCACATCTCAGTTGACATGATCTCATAGTAGTTAACCACTAAGGAAGATGAGAAGAATTAATGGTCTGGTTGAAATGAAGAGGAATTCATCACATGATGATAGAGTTTTTAGAGGACTTAGAACAATTTTTTGTTCTGCTGATCCATCCTCTCCATTAGTGCAACTTTCAGGGGTTATTGACTGACTCTGAGAAATAAAGATTTCTACAATATATGTTAACTGTTCCTTGTGCCCCTTCTCCCCCCCG